TTCACAGAAAAGTTTGGTTTGGAAAATCTAGTCAGGCAGGTGTAAGAGTTATTCATTTCAAAGCCGAAAGAGTTAGATACAGGTTATAGCATGTTTAATGCCAGAAGAAATCTTTAATTCCAACAAGAAACAAAGAGCACATCAGTCAAATAAGTGAGATGGCCTTCCAATACTTGAAGAGAGCGTTTAAATAGGAGGGGCAACAGCTGTTTATGAGGGTGGATAGTGATAAGACAAGGGGGAATCGAAATTGAGAGGGGAACGGTTTAGGTTGGATATTAGGAGGAAGTTTTTCACACAGAGGGTGGTGACACACTGGAACAGGTTGCCCAGGGAGGTTGTGGATGCCCCATCCCTGGAGGCATTCAAGGCCAGGCTGGATGTGGCTCTGGGCAGCCTGGTCTGGTGGTTGGTGACCCTGCACATAGCAGGGGGTTGAAACTAGGTGATCGTTGTGGTCCTTTTCAACCCAGGCCATTCTATGATTCTGCAAAATATGTTCCATGTTATTTGTAGACATTGTTAGTTAACCACAGTTTCAGATACTTTCTGCGTGCAAATAAGACAGTACTGCTTTATTTATCATCTAATGATTTCAAAAATTTAAAGTATTTCCTGGATTATATATTTGAGTAATCTTATCTACGTAATTAATACTTTTTTCCTTAACCTTTGGTGGTGCTTATTGCAGAAAAAGAACATTTGGAACCTCTTGCTTGAAGCTTGATGTTGGTTAATGTGATATAGTTCAGAAAAATGCATAACTGTAAATTGTTGGGTGAAATAACTTCAGTTCCTCCTTCTAGCAGTGGTCAACTATACAATAATTTACTTGCAACTGTTCCCAATGGTGTATTTTGTACTAGGTGTATGAGATTGTATGCTGGGCTAGCAAATTATTTCTTATGTTGACTGATGTACAATTTCATCACTGAATACTGTTTTTCATGCTTATCGAACATGGGGTAATTGAGGAAAGTTGCATATGTTAGAGCTCAGTACACCTTGTGTGTTTCAGCTGCCAGAAAAAGATACCAGATCCAGCTTATAAGGAGCTTGTATGCCAGTTACCACTGCTGATTATTGTACTACAGGAAGTGGAGAAAGAAACTTTGGAAGCTCTACAAATAGTCTCACCAATTCTACAAATAGAATCTGACCAGATTCTGTGTCCATTTGTGCATTCTGTGTCATATTTGTAGCAAGGCCTTTGGTCATGCTATCTATTAAAATTGAAAGTGAATGAAGCTTTCTAGCCAGATGTGACATATTCTATTGAATATCAGGTTTTGTAGAAGTCCAGGAAGTGCTACACAGGCAGATCAGACGTGCTTGCTTCTCATAAAGGTACCTCGTAATAATTTCAGTTTAACTTGCCACCTTCTGTTTGTCAGAACCCTAAACAACTGACATCATTCTTCTAGATTTCTATACTGCAAAGACTTCTGGTAGACGAGACTGAAAGTTTGCCAAAGAAGCAGCTTAAACTTTGTCATGGGTGGGTTTTATTGTTGCTATTGTTTTTTCTCCCTCCTATGTCATAACCATTTTTACATGATTTTTTTTTTTCCCCAAATGTAGGTTTGTGTTTCAAGGCAAATGATTGTAAAATGTTAGGAAAAGGTAACTGTATATATATTTCTTAAACTTTTCATCTGTAGATTCTGTGTTGCAGCATACTAGAGCACTCTCAAACAGAAGAATTCATCGTCTTGGGAGGCTAATTCGGGTCCCTTTCGTTAATTCTTCCAATGTTTATATATTGTTATAAATATATACTGAATAGCTAATGTGTCCTGATTCTGTAGGCATGTTGGAAGACTCATTGATCCTGCAGGTAGACTAATGGTAATATTTTTCTTGTAAGGAGCAGCTTGATTAGAAGAGTATGAGAAGTTTACTTCCCAAGATAAAAGAGGAGACCACAGTAGTAGAATTTGGGTGATGTGTAAAACTGAATATAGCATGAATAAGTGTCTGCTTTACCCTGAAATTTATTCTTGTTCTGTCATAGATTATATATTCTATAATTCAGTATTATAAATCTCTTCTTGCTAACCAGATTTGGCTGATTTTATTTCTAAAAGCTTGCCTGGATCAACCACTGACGTTTGCTTAGAATACAAATTTGTGTGTTTTACTTGAGGTACTGTCCTTGGGAGACATTTTTGTCTTGGAAAAAAGTAGCTCCTCCTCCTTTCCCTTCTACCACCTCTCCTTTGATCAGTAATAAAAATTCATCCTGCCTCCAGCTGGGCAGGAACAGCAGCTGAGGTCAGGATTGTTCTCCAGGGATATTCTTTACCTCTGATTGAAACCTTGGTTTTGCTGAGAACATTCAAATCCTAAGGTTTTATATTAAAATAATATCCTAACAGATGTTATTTTTCCTTTTTGAAAGGAAAATATTCATATCAAAAGTACATTAACATTGCAGTGTTGCTTCTAAAATCAGAAAATTAAGATGACTGACAGGATTAACTGTCACGTTACATGCATGTTTTTAAAAACCTTTTTTAGCATCTGTGTGGCTTAAGTGTCTTATAGTTCATTGTATGTGCAAATTTTTTCAAAGCAAATTTATCCCTCCTTCTGTTTTATTTACTTGTCTGTTGCATAGTGACTATAAATTTTTGGTTATTTTTCTTTTCTGTATGAGGTTCTGTCTTCCTTGCAACTGCTTGCAGAAATTATCTGTTCTTAGCCTGGTCTATAAAAGCATATGTGAAAGCATTATTACTTTGCTATATTTCCTGCTTAGTGCCTTCCTTTGTGTTCTGTGGTATGCTATTGTGCTTTAAAAAAATAAAAAATCAAAATATCAGGAAGAATAATCTACCCCTTTAGGAATGACATAGGTTTTACTTTGCACTTTTATGCTTAGAACCATAAAGTAGGTGTGCTTCTATATTAAATGTTGGCATTTCTGTCTCATATTCAAATTTTCAAGGGTACCTACAAGTCCTTAATGCTTACTTATAGAGATGTAAAAACAATATGATAACTTTATGGCATAATTAAACTGTATTTTGTATGCAAGCATAGATGGGCGTACAGCAGTGCTAGCCTAAGAAAGGAGACTTTTAAGGCCAGGAGTCCTGATCTTTTCTCTAGCAATTAGCTAGCATGCCTGTTTTAGAGTATTCAGTCAGATGCATCTGGTTTTGAAATCTGTTGCTAAACTGCTTGATGCTATGGAAATTGGATTGGATTTTTATGTAGTGTGACCTCTGAAAGGGGACAGGATGATTTGGTTGTTTATTTATTAAGAAAAGATGTGTTTGTGTGTGTGTATGCAGAAATCACTGCAAAAATAAATAATCAGCAGGTATTGGTTGATCCTGTTTTCCAGTACGCAGGATTTTTTGTGCTTATCATGAAAACTAAGTGTAGTTCAATGATTGCAAATTGAGGTTTTTAGAGTTTGGATCAAGAGGAGGAATTGTATGATTCTATTTTGTTTTTTTTTTTCTGTTTGTTTTTTTGTTGTTGTTGTTTTAAACAAAACTCTTTGTGCTTGTATTTCTGAAGTGTTTTTTCTTTCTTTCTTTTTTTCTTATTCAACACGCTTACCTACAGATACAGTGTATTTATTTTTCAGTGGAAATTGAAGACCTTATCCTTAAGGCATCTGCTCTGATGGATAAAACCATATTCCTTTTCACCCTGCCCGATTCAGCTCAGTTACACAGGGTTTCAATTCAGACTTAAAGGACATTTTTGTTGTTTCCTCCTCACGCTTCCTACCTTAAGGATTTGATTGCAGTTGTGGAAGACTTTGGCCGTGAAGAGCAAACAGTTTAGAACACTTTGTGTTTGTGAATTTGGTTTTCTCAAGATAGTAGGTCTTGCAGCCATGATGACTGCAGCCATCTTCTTGCTCTAACAGTTTCAGTCGTGATGATGGTGGTAAAAAGTACAAGGACAGAAGTGCAGTACTGCTAACGTAAATTTTTGACTATGTAGAATGATGGATTCTGATTTGAGTGTATATCATGAGGAAAAATAAATAGTCTAAGGAGATAAGGTAATAAAGTTTTTTAGTAGTTTTTTAGTGGCTGATAATTATTCTGAATATGGTGGAATTGTTGCTGTTCGGGCAAGCAAATTGGTAGGAAAAATGTATGAAATAGAATTAAAAGCATCGTTCAAGCATCCTGCAATTGTGGATTGTATTCTGAACAGAAAGGAAGGAGTCTCACTGTTTGTATCTGCTAAGCGGTCTTTGCTTCCCATTTATGGATATTGTCACATAAGCAACATATTAGCTGGTCTGGACATTTACTGCTGAGAGTGTACTGCAAGCACTGGGAATTCCGGACATCTCTTCAAGATAAGATAGGCATATGATGCAGTAAAACTCAAGAGTTAAAGTTGGAGCAGATTTTTTTTTTTACTTTTAGAGAGTGTTATCTTCACATGACTACCTATATACCCTGTCTTTCATACCCTCCACCTTGTACAGCATAAAATACTGGATGTTTCCAGGCCAGTGTAAATGCATTCTGCAATTGAAAATATTGTAGAACTAGTTGGTTTTTGGAGTTCACTCCCATACACAATAGGCATCTGTATCTATAGAGTTCACTCCCTTTACACAATAGGTATCTATTTCATATGTTAAGCTTTAGTATGTTCTAAATCTCTTAGCCTCTTTACTTTCTGTTCCTTATACCTGTGTGCCTTTCTTTCTCCTTTAGTTTTTGCTCCAGTGTGAAAGTGGAAGTGAAAAAGGAACTTTCAACAGATGCTCAAAAGACAGCATGTTAACAAGAGAAGCTGTCTGCTCAACTCCACAGATGTGACAATTACCAAAATTCCCTAAGTATTGTCACACACACAGGCATTTTCAGTACCTTATCCCCAACTATTTACCGACATTACTGGTGTTATTTCATACATCATACAGACTGCTCTATTTATGTAGAAAGGGAATACTTATCTAAGCAGACAGATACCAGTACGGTTTGCATGCACACAAATCTGAATTGCTCCCTTACCTCCAGGTTTGATGTAGAAGCAGTTGAGCTGAGTTTCATGCACCAGCTTCCCCTTGTACTTGGTTTCAGATTCCCCTTGCTGGTGGCTGGATAGCGGTTGGTATGCTTGCCGAACAAAGGCTTGAAACATGTTTTAAAATTCCAAGAAGCGTTGAAACCACTGAGTTGAATATATTTTCCCAATATAAAGGAGGTAAATTCCTTTTAGACGATTGTTTCCTAATGCAGCTATTGTATGTAATAGCCTTGCGCAGAACTTAAAAACCAAAAACCAGAGCTACTGACAACTTGGTCCTTTCATCTAAAAACTACTTTTTAGCTCTCTGAAGCCTCCACAATATCTATCTTGCTCTTCCTTTCCTTGCTCCTCACTCCTAATCCTCTTCTTGTATTGTGTTCCTTATGTTCTGTTGGTGCCTTCTCCTCCCCTTGCGGTTTTTCAGGAAAACTTTTTCAGGACTGAGAAGTGGAGATAATGGGCGCCATCCACCCGTCAGCTCGTCACCTCACCGAGCCATGGCGATCTCTGGTTTCTGTATATCAGCACGGACTTCTCTGATAATATCCTCTTGTGTTTGAAAAAAATAGGTTTGTCTAGCAAGGGGTGGACTTCAGTCCTGACATAGCCAGAAAACTTCTCTTGGAATGTGAGCTTGCTCACTCTCGCTCTTTTATGTGTGTGTGTATATATATAAAAATATTTGTAACCTTCTCTCAAAACACAAAAGATAAATATAGGAACAAGTGTATCCCACAGTGCATATACAAGCTGCCCACTTCTGTCTATTACTGATTTAATACAAGCTCTTGAGTGCCTCATCAGCTCGGTCTTCGTCAAAACAAGCCTTAAATCAGAAATAAGCAATATTCTTCAATTGCAGGAGGAGAAAAAGAAATCCTTCGCAAGTATAAGATAGCATACCCTTTAAAGGACAAGGAATGTGTTACATACAGAAAGCCGGTGTTACTGTTCCAGTGGAATTCCACTAAGGCTGCAAACGCAATGCTGCTTTTTTGTCTCAAGTGGCATACAAACTACTAAGTGTGTTGGAATTAGTATTTGGTATCTGCTCTACTTTAACGATTATGGTTGCAGTTCCTTTGTTATTTTGCAGTGCAGAACTTGTCGTGGTAAAATTTGATAAAATATTAAATCTCAATGGAGTAAAATATTTTTTTAGTCAGTCTTCACCAAAAATGTGGCTTGTACCTGCTGGCTTCATTATTTTGGTTGAATGTACTCCTAAGCCTTTTAGAGCCTCTTCCAGTAATCCTTTTGCATAGCAGAGAGATTATTTATATGAATAAAAGCAGCCAGAGATCCTGTAGCCAGGAAGAAAAAAAAGTGATGCAAGACACATGCTTTGGGTCAGAAGTCAACAACAGAGGAACTATAAAGGTTCTTCCTGTGAATCATCTGGTGCTGCTCATTGTCTTAGACAGGATATAGATTTTAAGTTTGATGAATTCCACCAATTTTTTTCTCTCTGCCAAACAAACTGCCTTTCTGTAAAATTTCAGGTTTATTTGCTTTTCGACACACAGTACTAAATCCTCTACACAGGAATGCGTAGCATCTCTTACTAGACAGGTTTTCGTAATTATAAAAGAACTAACAGTGTATTTTTATTTAAATTATGGTACCTGCGTGCAGTGCTTTATTTCTTTTTTAATTGACATCTCTTTACTTTTGTGGTATTTTTATGTTTTTCCTGGCTTCTCTCTCGTTAACATTTTGTATGTCTTTATTGTACAGAAAACAAAGTTAAGGTTTAGATGGATGCTAAGAGTTAAAAGCAGGAGGGGATAGAATGGGGAAGCAGAAGATGATTATGAATGTTTTATTCCAAAAGGACCGTGCACGTGATGTAATACTTCTGAAGCAAAGTCAAATGATGCACTTTCACTTTCTGTATGAAAATATGCCGTTGCTGTAATGAAAATCACCCAGTGCACAACTGCAGTTTTTAATCTGAATGGAAACGTACCTCTAAATTCCGTACTCAGCTACTCATAAATTGTAGGGTATATACCCCAGTGCTGCTTCAGTATTTTGAAATCTCTAACTGCTAATAGAAAATTAATTTGATAATTTGTGATGCTTTCACCTGTTGGACTACATGCTTGAAACATTTTAACAGTTTAAATTATTTTTGTCATAACAAACTTGATCTCAGAAGTATGTTCTTGTTTTTCCCACTGTACAAGAACCCACACTTGTGTTGGAAGAAAGTAGAAAAGTCACTGGATTGCTATGGTAATCTGAACAATTAACTTCAGTAGTTAGAATTGTTTTTAAAAGGTGTGCATGTATTTGGTAAAATAAAGAAGCAATAAGGTAGTTCAGAGAGATGGCATTTGTGTCTTTATGAAAGAAACTATGCAGTTGCAACTTTCACAAGAAAAAAATAGGTCACAAGATATGCTTTAAACTTTCTTTTTTTTAATTAAGCTCCAAAAGATAAAATGTAATGATCCTTCCATTTTGAACAAATAAAAATGCAGTGGTCATATGTGAGTGATAAATGCTACAAGGTGCAGATGTCTATTGAAGCCTGACCTGAAAGTACAGCCTGCTCACAAGTTCTGACACAGTAAAGCCATTTACTACTAGACAAAGTATTAAGTATATTCCAGTTGTGGTAGGTAAATGGCTTTACTGTGTCCATTGAACTGTATTGTATTTTCTAAAAATCAGATATATTTAAAAATTTGTAACAGCAATACAGAAAAAAGGTGTTATTTCAGTCAGTGTCACAGCTGACTAAAGCAAAAGGAATTGCGACAGAGAAATAGAGACTATTAATGTGTTGAATATAACATGTTAACAGGCTGTGAAAGCAAAAGCAAATATTTAAGAGATGCTGTAAATATGAATATTTGGGATGTCAGAAAGAGTAGTTCACTTTATAGTTACTTATTTCTACATGGTTTTTGTATTTCAGAAATGAAGAGATAGTGTGGGAAAAATGAGCAAGTTGCTTGCTCCTAAAATGGTGGCATGTACAAAATGTACAAATGAGAAGATGAATTTTAAAAAGAAACTTGGCTATACCATGATATTTTTAGATGTCAATTGTTACAAGAACAAAGGTGTGTATATGTTCAAACAGTTTAGACTTTTGTTGTTGCAAATTAACATTTTAAGATCTTTCAGATTAGCAAATATATTTTCAGTAATTTGGGGTCATCAATCTGATTAATAGTATATACTCAGGCTTCAGGGAAAAGGAATGATATGCTATTGAACACCTTTTTAAAGTTTAAATATTCTTTGTTCTTTTTTATTGAAGGGAAATATATATATATATATATAAATGACATCAGCATAGTTTGGAAAGTGACTTGCCCTTGAACTTGACTGTAGCTCTGGAAATAAAGATTTACTATGTCCCATGGCAGGTACATCGGAGATGCACATTGGAAACGTATTCCTCTGTTTGACTAAATCATAAATGAATATTCAAATCCATCTGTGTCCTCTGCCACACCACAGTGTGTGTTATTTACAGTGGAGAAAGCTTTATTGTAACAGGACCGAGTCCCTGGATACTCAACTGTAGTTGCCGCTTTCCTTAACCTAGTGGAAAGCAGGATGGAAATATAAAGACAAGACATTGAAAAGGCAAGGGCAGAACTCCTTTGTATTCTCTGAAATATAAACAAGCTTTCTTCTGGATGGAAAAGCAATGTCATAACCTTCTTGATTGGAGAGTGTTCTCATTGCTCTTAGCTACTGCTGGGCATGATTCTGTACAAAGAGTCGAGAGCCTAATTTCTAATTTCCTCTCTTTTACTTGTGGTGATGATACGTTATTGTAAGCTTTTCTGCTCATAGAAGTTATAGATATATATTTAGTGTGGATTTGTGTAATTGCATTTTGTGTTCTGTTCTCATCATTCATGTAGATGAGGGTCTGACTTCATTTTGGTGTGCACTGAAGACCTTTTTAATGATTTGTAGCCTAGATAATAGGGCACTGCTAAGCTAGTAGAAGTCGTAGTTTTAGATGTTGAGGAGCTGAACTTCTTTTCAACTAAGCCGTCCTCTGGTGAGATTCTTTTTTTCACAGGAAGGTTGCTTTTGTTGATTTAGAATTTTGGGGCTGACTTTTTAGCCTTGCAAAAGACTTCTTTGCTTAATTTTTCAAAGTCAGTGTCTATCATATTTCTATATCAAAAACAGAATGATAATTTCACCCACCATGTGTTTGTCTTAACATTTCTTTGTGTGGAGCATATATGCTCCTTGAATGAGACTCTAATTATTTCCATTACAAAAAGCAGTGGAGCTCCGTTCCCGTCGATGTTTCAGAAGTCTATTGTGAAGAAGTAATGCAAACCACTTGTTGCTGAAGAGCAATTTATAAGAACAATAAAGGATTTATTAAGAACAACTTCTTATTTAAGAAATTGATAGCCTGGCCCCTAGAGACAGACTTCCTGCCTCAATTTCAGTGTCGTGAATCATCATGATTTAAAAATTACTTGGAAATGATGTTGCAATGACAGGGGATACAAGTGGAAAAAAAGTGCACTGGGCCAGATGGATCATAACGTAGATTCTATTCCTGTGTCATGACCAAAATAACTTGTTGCATCATAAGAACACAATTTTAAGGTAAATGTTGCAAATTGAGTTTGGGATCTTTTTCAAACAGTAAAGAAGCCGCTGATGAACTCTTGCATCTGCTGAGCTTTATGGGAATAAATGGAGCATTGGGATTTAAAGTTTCCTACAAAGCTAGCATAATTTTAGTCTTGAAACTATTTAACGGACATTCTAGTCAGTCATTCTTTTGATTGCTACAGAGTCGATGGGGGTTTTTGGTTGTTTTTTGTTTTGTATTGTTTTGCTTTCTTTTATTTTCCAATATATTTGCTTGAAAATCTGCCTGAAGTCAGGCTGTCTCCATAGATTAGAGCAGATATGATTTTATAACCATCAGAATATTTTGTGGCACTATATCTGGACATCTATGAGTTGGTCAGCCAAATTGCCTGACTGGTGGAAGGTTATAGGAATATTTAAAAGTCCATTAAATAAAAAAAAAAAAAAAGAGTGTTTAAGGTATAAGCAGACAATGGTTGGGAACCTGTTCTTGACTTTTAGTGTTACCAGTCACTCTCCATTCTCTAACCAACTGTCCTGGTTCTGTCCCTCCCAGCTTTTCTGCTCCCCAGCCCCCTTGCTAGCAGGACTATCTTATCAACAGTTATAAATATCTAATGGTCAGGAGTCAAGTGGATGAGGCCAGGCTCTTTTCAGTGATGCCCAGCGACAGAGCAGGGGGCAATGGGCACAAACTGGAATACTGGAAGTTCCATCTGAACACAAGGGAATACTTATTTTGAGGGTGACAGAGTGCCAGAACAGGCTGCTCAGAGAGGTTGTGGAGTCTCCTCTGAAGATATTCAAAACCCACCTGGACATTTTCCTTTGGAACCTGTTGTAAGGAACATGAATTAGCAGGGGGTTGGACTGATTATCTCGAGAGGTCGCTTCCAACCTTTGTAATTCTGTGAAACATCCTTGGGTTTGCACA